AACTGAATTCCTGAGCACAGCACATTGAGCTGTCAGACCCAGCAAGGTGTGCGTGCATCAAAACCAGAGCACCTGTAAGATGCTGTCCTACTGGGGAAAAAATAAAAAAAATAAAAAAAATATTAACGCTCTGTCCCCTTAATCACAGCAACTTCTCTCTAGAACAACAGAGGGCACCACTCCTCACTCAAAAAGCTGCAGCTGGAAGAGGAGCAGCCTCGCACTGAGGTGAAAGTTTGCTAAGTAGAACAGTTTTCACTGTCGGTGGTTGGGATCGCGTGCTCTCCCCCAAGGAGGCTCAGCCCTGCGTCTCCCGCTGCTGCGGGAGGGCCCTGTCTCTCTTGCGGCCTGTACAGGGTCACTAAGCAGTCACTTATTGCACAATGCCTTGAGATTAGGGTCTTACTATGCGGCAAGAGGGCTGCAGAATGCAGCTGCGGCCCTGGCTCCTGTGTATACTCATTTTTATTTGTTTGTTTACAGTGAGCTTGTAACGTAAAATGCGTCAGTACATGTAACATAAAATGCAAAACAGGGCTGGAATCCGGGTTCCTTCTCCCAGATGACCACGTTATCTCCTCACTCTTCCAGCCACAGCTTCCCCTGCCACCACAGTCAGTTCTGAAGCAAAGGAGCAAACCTACTTCGGCTGTTGAGAAAGCACAGATTTGCTCTTTTCCCTCAGCGCAAAGTCCCGGGGCCGAGCCCCGAGCAACGCTCAGGCCGAGCGGTCAGCGCTAACGCGTCCCATGAACACCGCCTCCTGAGGGAACGCGCCCCCCGTTGCCATGGCACCGCCGCGGCCCCGCCCCCTCGGCGCACCTCCCCCCACCTCCCTGCGGCGGCGCAGCACGTGCCGGGCAGCGTGCGCGGCGATCAGGTGGGAGCGCGCGTGATGGCGGTCACTGCCTCGAGCTGTGGCCTCGGCTCCCGCGCCCTGGCGGGGTATGCACGCGGTGTTTCCTCACGAGCCGTCGGCCTTGCCGCTGGAAGCCGGGATCCAAGCCTGCAGGGAGCGTGGACCGGGGTCACTGCCCTGGGACGGCAGCCCCGCAGCCAGCACGAAAGGCTGCAGGCCAGTCTTTACCTCAGAGCCGTGCCAAGGGCTGTGCAGATGATCGGCTGCTGCTGTGTAGAGATGCTTTGCAAGCAGCGCTATGTGTAAGCAAGGCTCTGTGCTGCCTGCTGCCAGCAGTGGGGCTGAAGCCTTGGGAACTATGTTGGTGAATGCAGGGAGTGTCGAGTCCGCTTCAGCATCCATCAGCCCGGGCTCCTTAGCGCAGCTGGGGCTCGTAACGCACTCGGGGAGCCCTATTCTGCTGAGTAAGAGGGTGCCGCATTTACATAGCCCTTTTCCTGAGGCTGTTCTTCAGAAATGGCTCAGTTGTGAGACTGCTGTGACCGCAAGCCTTTCTGTTTTGGTATCTGGTTCTCCAGCTTTGGTCTGGATAGAGATGCATCACACAGACCTGGCTCACCTCAGCACTGAGCGGGGCACAGCTTGGAGGCACTTCCTCACCTCAGCACTGAGCGGGATGAGCAGGGGCACAGCTTGGAGGCGCTTCCCTGGGCTGCAGTTGCACAGACAGCAACGCCTGGCAGATGCCTGTACCTGGGGATCTTCTGGTACCAGAGGATGGAGGAACCGAGCTCACAGAGCTCTCAGACAACATTTGTGCCAGTTAGTGTTGTGTCCTTGCTGGTAATTGAGCATAAACTGCGATAAACTCGGTGGGGAAGGGAATGTGGATGTGTTTCTATTGAGGAACAAATCCTCATTTTCTTATTTGACCCCAGAAGATCTTGGCTGAGGTAGAAGACTGGTGAAAATCAGTGCATGTGCTTGTAGCCTGCACCAGGATCCACAGGGACAGGGAAACTGAGCTTTGAAAATACATAATAGGAAAGAAAACAACAACAGAAGGTCTCTACGGATGCTGGAAAAAGCTGTCCCCTGGCCCTTACAGAGCTGCCTGAAACCATGGTCCCAGCTTCCTGGAAAGCACGAGGCCATGGCCTGCTGCCCGTGCCATGCATGACCTGCCTCCTCCAGGCGCTGCTAGGCAGGAGGAGGCATGCTGGTGCCCCAGGAGCAGGTAGCCATCCATGTGTTCAGGGAGGCACAGAGGACTATGCTGCTTGACCTGGGCCTGGGTGATGGAGGCAGTGGCAAGGTTTGTGTCCAAGGGAGGTGGGCAACCTGGAGACCTGTGACTACATAAGGGACCCAGAGACAAGTGGCAGCAACAGCTCGCTCTGGCCTGGGTTTGTCTGCGACTTGCACAGCTGCTGCTAGCGGCAGGTGAGCAACTGGTTTCTCTGAGCTGTTCTGCAGCATAGCCAGCAGCAGTGAAGAGAGTCAGGCTTTCTTGAGTGAAGCTAGCTCTAAAAATTACAAGTGTTATTTTACAGAGAGGAAATTAGGCATTTCTGTTTCTTGTTTTCTTTAAGGTCTTGTTTTAGTACATTTCTGCAGCTAACAGGCAGGAAACTTCTCAAGTGAAGGCAAAGATCACATGACTTCAGGAGCTGATGTTCGAAGAGGAAAGGAAACACATTGTGGGACCCACAGACTATAAATTTGACTGTGCTGAAACACTGCAGTGCATGCAGTCCCCAGGCTTGCTGAGTATTGAACGTAGTCAGTCTGCCCCAACTAGCAGTAAAAATTAAAGCAAGCCAACAAACAAAAAAGCCCCACAACTTAGACTTAGGACCTACTTCAAAACCAATTACGCTCAAGAAACAGACTCACACTGACTTAATTGGTAGGTCAGGCCTTTCTTAAACAGAGTGAATAGTCAGTTTGAGTTCTGTAACTGTAATCTTTCCAAACATAAAACTTTCATTGCCTTAAGTGGGAGTTATATGATATTACCTTCTGCTGCCTTAACAATCTTTATTTGGCACACTGTGGCGAAACCTTCCATGCTGTCATAATGTACTGGGTAAGTAAGACCTGTTTTCAAACTTTATTGCTTAAGAAAATACATTTACCCCTTCATGTTGTGTCTCCTGGTTTGTGAGAAATACAGTATCTATCCCAGCGCATGCCATATGTACAGCACCCAGTCCTGCACTCCTAGCACCCAGGAAGCACAGGTAAGAGTTGCACCATGTATTATAGAGTTACAGAAAGTAGATAGGAATAACCAGCACTGATATTTGCATGCAAGTGAATATATATTTAAGCCTGCCAGGCTGTTGTCTGTTGCTTATATGTATCTATTTAACTTTGAGAAAATGTAAAACATAGTTTGGCTTAGGCTTCAAAAGGATCTGAGGAAGCCTGGAATTGAATGAAAACCTGAAGAGCTGACTCTTTGGATCCCTCCTGGCATTTGCCTCTTGCCTCCAGCAGCAGTGGGTTATCAGCCCCAATTACAAGCCTCTTTTAAATCTGTTTGTGAGGCATTGCTATTATCTGAACATTATTATCATGTTTTGCCTTTATGTTTTATGTAATAAATTAATAGACTCCATTAATGCTGTAACTCGGCATGAAATCATTTGGCACGGTTGATTCAAAGCCTAATAAAAATAAGCCATCCTGCTATTGTACACAGTAAACACTGAAATTGGTTAAACACCATAAGGATCTTAGTTTATAGCCCAATGAAATCTAAGCTGATCCGTATTCCCAAGAGCTGGAAATGTGACGAAGACACAGAGCCTGGTCCTCACTCGGGTTTCACACCTCCCAGGTTGTGTAGGAGGGGTAGTGATGGGCTTTTTTCAGAAGTGTTCATGGTTCTGCCATTTCTGGCCATGTCATAAATTGGCAGGAAGGGCTTCACGTACAGTAAGGCCAATTCCCTCTCTGGTGAGAGGCTACACGAGCACGGTCAGCCCAATGTAGCTGTTTAGGTATGCAGGTCAAAGCAAAATAGCTGGTGAGCTGCAGAGCAGAAGGGCTGCACCCAGCTCCCTTTCATCCTCGTGACAGCCCCATGCACAGAACAACGGCATCCATGGCCAGCAGCAGTTTTTTACATTGCCTTCGATACGCTTTGCTTTCAGCAAACTCATGTCGACAGGCACAGGGCTGTGAAGTAGCAGCCCTGAGACTGAATGGGAAAAATCACTAATTGGGATCTTTCTGTGGTATCTTTTTCTAGTTGAAATTAACGTTACTGTAAAGTGCAAAGAGACACACACCTACTTCTTAACAATCGTGTTTGAACAGTTTCAGAGAACAACTTATTTTTCATCCGATGTATACGTCCTCTTGTATCCCAAAGGACCACTGGAGTCAGCACGAGTCCCGGACTTTGCTGTGATGTCTGAGCTCCAACTTCATTCTGTCGGTGCCGAGGTACAGGGCACTGGTGCTGAGGAACCAGAAGAGGGAGCAAGAAGCACTCTTTTTCTCTCTTACATAAATGCAGGCTACTGTTGGAGGGCTTCCTTGATTTTATTTCCCTGGAACAGGAAGAATTTTTGAAGAAAAGCCGGTGAGCGGCTCAGATATTAAACCTGCGGAGGTCTTTAGGTTGGTATATTCCCATGCTGTGCATTGTCTGCCTGCTCCCACTACTCTGCTCCCACTGCCCCAGAGATTTGGCTTCTGTAGCTGATTTCCAGCTGGGGCGTCCATCATTGCTCTGGAGTTCAGGTACTCACAGAACTGACCGTCACGTCGATCATCACGTTTGCTCACGGTGAACAAAGACAGCATAAACACACAGCAGCAGAAACACAAAGGATTCATTTTAAAAGACAAAAGTAGTATTTTGCGGGAAGAAGAAGGAAAAGGTCAGCATCAGGAAGAAGCACATCTGTTCCACGTGCGCTTTACGCACTGCTTTGTGGAACACGCACCTCTTACACCGGAATTGGCCAATGTTTCTTAAAGGAAACCGAGCGCATTGAAACCCAGCTTCAAAACGTACCGAGGCGTGCAGCAATCGCCGTCAGCTGCAGCATCACACCTTGGGATGCTCCGTGCACCTATTGTTATTACCTATTATCCTCAGGTTCTTAATTAGTAGACAACCCCATTTTGCGTATTAAAGTTTTTATTCCTTAGTAAGAATTTTTTTTTTAATCACAAAATAGTGTGGAAATATTTAGATAATAGAATTCACGGAGTGCTGGAAAATACGGAATATAAAGATCGGTCTCTAATATATCACATACTAATCTGTTCTAAACCAGCTGGTTTCTTGCAGACAGGATTTATTTTCTTTTAATAATTTAAGACAGCGTAAGCTTGTATCAAGCGTAAGCATCGTAACAAAAGTGCAACTTTTTCAGCAAATCCTCCCAAAAGATATTTAACTCAAAATATCATTAACACGTATTTTCTCCCTACAAAAATAGCATGTCAGACATCATTAATTGGATGTATTAACAACTATGTACATACAGCCACTCGGTAGGCCGCTAAGGTCTGGAACGTTGTTTAAACACAGCGTTTGAGGCGAACAGCAGCAACAGCAGCAGCAATGCACCGAAGCGCCGGGCCGAGCCGGGTACGCGCTCGCGCCGAGTCAGACTGTTGTGTCTCACCTCTTACATAACATTCAAGTGAGATTTCTCACAGTGCTACCTTGGCAACAAACTAAAAATATCCAGGCAAGGTCTCGGTTTAAGCCTTATTATAAAAGCTTTATCTGTGTGATTATCTGGCGTCTGGTTTGGCTCCAGAAAGGGAAATCGCGGTGCTCGGGAGTGGGATGAGGGGAGAGCCCGGCCGGGAAAGTTGCCCCAAAGGTCTCGGCGTCCGATTGCAAAGCGGGAGGGGGGGGTTTCCTCCGGTTTGTGTCAGTCAGAATTTATGCTCAAACGAGCTCGGGCTGACGAGCCGCTCTCCGCTTTCTTAGGGAAGGGAGGGAGAGAGAGAGAGGGGTTTTCTTTCCGTAGTTCAGTGCAGAAACATTCATCTTATACAGCACGGTTCGGGGGGAAATCTCTGGGGAACATACTGAATTAAATAAAGACGGGTGAGCACAGACGCACCCGCCGCAGCTGTATACCTCAGCCGAAAACAGAACAGCCGAACGCGGGGTTACATAACGGCACTGCCCTCCTTCCCCGCACTCCCGAAGCCGGCGGCGCCCCGAGGTGCCCAAGGCACTGCGGCCGCCCATAAAGTGCTGGCACAGGTGCGGGGCTCCGCCGCCCCTCCGCCCCAACCTGAGCCCGCACGGCACGGTGCGAGCATCTCGGCGGGACCCAGGGACACTACAAACCCATCACAATAAGGTGCGACATTTAAGTTACCTTAGAGAGAGAGAGAGAGAAAAAAAAAAAAGTATCCTTACTATTTCTCTTCCTTTTCTTCTTCTTTTTCTTTTTTTTTTCCTTAACATATGTATGCACTTATAAAGCCAAACATTAAAAAAATACTGAGTAGCAAATCTCGTCCGGGACGGTCCTCTGTGGGGCAGCGGCGCGGGGGGCTCCGCGGACCCCTCCGGCACCTCCTCCCGCCCGCCCTCCGCACTCACTGCCCTTCGGTGCCGGGCTCTTCGGCGGTCGCGGGCTCCGCTTCCTCGCCGGGCTCGGCGGCGGGCACCGCGGCGGCGGCGGCGAAGGGGGGCGGCAGGTGGGGCGCCGGGGACAACCCGGCCGCCTTTTCGGCGGGGCCGAGCACGGACGACAGGCAGGGGAAGGAGGCGGCGGCCGCGGCGGCCGCGGCGGCGGCGGCGGCCGCCTGCGCCGGGATGCCGGGGTAGAGCAGCGGGATGGGGGCGGCGGGATAGAGGTACTTCTCCAGGCCGCCCTTATCCAGGAAGGGCTGCACGTAGGCGGCGGCGGCCGAGGGGGAGATGAAGTAGAAGGGCAGGCAAAAGGGGGCCGCCGGCTGTCCGAAGGGCGCCGCGCCGCCGCCCGCGCCCAGCGCC